ATTTTCTCGCTTCTTTCAGTTGATTCTTATGTCATATGAACCACTTGCATGTGTCGGTCTCAGGGTACCAAAATTTACATGACTTTTCTTTAGTGTGTATAGTATACTTGTACTTGCCACACAATTATACTGATGCAAAAATGGTACCACTATCGAAAGTTCTCAATTAATAACTGGAAGTGCATCTAGAACACTAAGGCTGTGAACCATTTGCCGAGTTAAATTTAACTCGTAGTTAAAAGTGACATTTCGAAAGTTATTTCTTATGTTCGAAAATCCCCGTGCTGTCAATCGACCGGTTTTCGAGCCACGGTCGTCAAAATTTAACTTCTTGTCTGTCAGAAATAACCACGCTCGGATAGCAGGGTTAATCGATAACTTTCCATCTGTCAAATTTTAACCAAAAGTTAAAATAATCCACCAAATGGTTCAGACCCTAAGTTGAGAACACGCAATAAGCAATAAGCATGAAATGCGAAGAAGAAGAAAGAAGACTGTTGAGTATGAAGAATTAGCCTTTAAAAAATCACATCAAATGACAGCTTGATTTGGTCAAAAAAATTGTGTTAAAAATACTGATTAAAAATCAGCGTGTAACGTGGCGGACAAGAAGAGCTGTGGACAGAATCTCTAGTATTTTGATTTCTTTATACTCAATGATCTAGACATTCAAGTCCGTAAATATTTCAAATGTGCCTCTTACCTGTGATTTCGAAATAGTCATAGACTTGTCACAAATTTTTTGAAGCTTCGAAAAAAAAAATCTGGTCCCAATATCCTGGCTTTTTCACTTCATGATCTTGAAAGTTTTCCAAGCCTAAGGTGTTGAAAGTGGTCTAATTTTCATGCTCTAGACATTTTTTCATGGACTAGAATTTTTTGAAAAACTGATCGTAAAATGTTTTCTACTTTTCTGAAGCATTTAAATTGTTCTAGGACTGTGAACTAACATTCGATATGTTCAAAATATCTAATATTATTCCAGGTCGCACAGTTTTCTTAATTTGCTTGTCTTAGACATCTCAAATTTTTAAGCATTAAAAAAATGGCCCAAAATCTCTAAAAGTTGTAAAGGAATCTCACCTTTTTTTTAAGACCCAGATTTGAAGTCCTAGACGCATGCAAAATTTTCTATGTCCGTGATCTTTCCGTTTTGGAAAATTTTCCTCGTTCCAGAATAATGAGATTTTTTCTTAGACTGCTTTCTAGAAAAGTTGGCTAGGTCCAACTCAGCAACAAAAAGGCTTTCGGTGAAATGGCGTTCGGTGAACGCAATTCCGGAATCTGAAGATTGTTTCGAATAATAGGTGTAGGTAATGGGCAGCAACAACGGTAAACGAACAAATGATTTACAGGTTTTATATATTAAATACTTTATATAATTGCCAGCAACGCCGGCTGGGCGTATCCTATGGCTTTCCCTCCCTACTAACGAAATTCCACCCTTCCCGTGACACTTATGAGGGATGGTAGAGTTGTCTGCATTTCTCTTAAGTAAGTGTCGGACAAACATTCCTTTCCCATCCCCACCAGATGCATGGACGTGGCCAGGACAGCTCTAGTCTTTGGAGCGAGAATCATCCTGTATCTAAGAGGTAGTGGTTAACCACAAATTACTATCTAACAGCAACGGATGAAGGTGGGTCTCCTCCTTAACAACAGTATGGAGCTCGTACCACCTACGACATTGTGCAACCTGGTTTATGCTATGCTATGCTATGTTTGAGGTTCTACAAAAGTTTCTATATAGCAGCCATTGCTCTAATGGTGTCATATAAATCTAAAGATTGAGCCCATCGATAAAAAAATTCTGTTCTTCAATTATATTTGTTTAATACAATGCGTCATCTGAACCTCGATATGACAATACAAATGTATACTTTTGGTTGCTGGTGAAAAAATGGCAAACAATGTTTCCTTAGAAATTTATGTATGGGTCCAATATTAGGAACATTACCCCTATACTAGATCTTTGTACATTTGTCTCTGGGCCTCAATTTTTCGTTCTAATCACCTAATCTAATTGTTTAAAAAAAAGTTAAACAGGCAGAATAGAGAATGGACAATAGAATTGGACTGTACTCTATTTTAAAGAAGCATGAAAAATGTTCATGATAGATTTGTGAGTTTATAAAATTTCTCGAAGTGGCAATCGCAATCAACGAAAGACTGGAACCATATTGGTCACTATTTTCGTTATTTTAGTCATTAAAGTCACTACTTTTAATCACATACTCACTAACAGCCCCGAATCAAGGGAACAGAAAGGTCCGAGGAAAAATATTGTTCAGTTGGCAAAAAATACGTTTTATAAATTTTTACTATGTTTTCCCAGTTCCTGTTCAATTTGTTTACCGGTTAGGCAAATATATGGTGTGATTCAAAATCGTGATTTTATTGGGGGGAGGGAGATGGAATTTTCATTTATGTTGGTCCGTTTAGTTTTTTACGTCAAAAATCATATAAATTTTGAAGTGACCTTGCCCACATAACATATGTGGAACTCGATCATCAAAAATCGACCCCATTTCAGTGATTTCAAGTTGTATAGAAGGACATGGATCTGTCAAATTGATTATACCAGCTGTAAAATGAGAATGGGATCAAAGGGCTTTTCAATTCTTTTGAATGATTCTACCGTGATTTATAATTATGTGTTCCTAGCACTCCTGAACTCATGTCTTATTATTTCCTTAACCATTTATGTGCTTTATTTAAAATTATATAGATAACTTTAACAAATTCATCACCTTGATTTACACAGCAAAACTGTGGTAACCTTAGAAGAAACATGTATATGTAACATTTCCTTCTTTGGACACTTTCTATTTTTTTGGAACCAATTGCATCAAACTTTGATTTCATTAGGGATGGTCCATTAATTATGTCACGCAAATTTGGCTAATTTTCAACCCCCCCTCCCCCTTTATCACATTTTTTGTATGGACCTTAATTTTTCTTGTATGGCTCGTCACAGTTTTCCGTCAATTGAAAATTTCCTCAAAAATCCCAACACAAAGAATTACTTACTTACTTAATTGGTAAGGTTGATCCTTGTTGATTGAAAAGGCAAAAGAGGAGCTACACACAATCATAACAAACTTTTGTTCGACCACTATGGCTAAGGTCTCAGGGTGGGACTCCTAGCTAACTGTTTCAAAGTTAAGTACTATTTATTAACGAAAATAATCGTTAATATGCATCAACTCGATATTTCGTAATGTTGACTCACTAAAGCACAGTTAACAATATTTCAACATACCACAGACAAAATGATAATTCTACACCTATTCAACGTAATCCTCAAATTTTCGAATTGTTTGCATTAAATTACATTCAATTAACATTATTTCCGTCATGAATCCAATGCAAACCAATAAGATGAAGAAATAATGCATCTGTAAATAGGTAATATTACGGAATAACAACGCTCTTGATTGGCTTCTGACCGACTTGAAAATACTAGTTAAAAAATCCTTTGAAAAGCCCCTTGTCGAGCTAGTCGAAAAAAGAATGCCCACACGTCAAACTTCGTCAAGCATTTAAGCAGCGGACGAACACCATCTCATTACGCATTACCGTGTCTGTTGACAATTTGCCTCTTCGGTCACGCTGTTACTCTTCACTCCTATGGTAAAATCCCATAAGCAAACATCAGTCTGTGCGTGAAACTTGGTGAACATTTCCTTACCCTTTCACTCCTATGAAAATCCCATATGGTTCTGTCAATCTTTGCGTGAATAAACGGCGGTTTGCTGGAGGAATGAAGAGATAAAACAAAATCCGCTAGATGTCATGCACAGATTGTCAGATGCTTATGGGAGTAAAGAGTTGCAGAGGCGCCGTTAACGCCAATGCTTACTTTCGTAGCCAATGCTGCAAACGTAAACAATTACTTTTTGTGTGAATTTCTCGAAAATAAAAACTCCTTCAAGAAAACCAACACCATGATTGTGTAGAGAAAGAGTCCTCCTATCCGATAAAATTAGTGGATTAGATGGATACATGCAATTGACTTTGACCTACGAGACATTTACGAAAGAATCCATTATTTATGTTTTCGACATTGGTCTTTATGAATGCTCAGTGTCGATATCACGAAAATTTTATTTTGACAGTTCGATGTCCAACTATGCCAGTTATACCACTGAGGTAAAACAAAAAAGGGGTCAGATTTGAGTCAGCTTTTTGCAAGAAGTTCCACATATGTTATGTGCCTTGCCTAACCGTGGACTTCAATTTTCCAAAGAGCACGTTGTCCTCTACACTGTAGCTCGAGATAAAATCTGAGAAAAATATTAAAAAGTTTAAGATTTCACAACGTACAGAGCACAACAAACTAAAGATATTGGAGACAAATTTCCAAATTGGACACACACTGTATTAAATCGAATGTATGGAATGCATTTACTAGCGAGAGTCGATCATGAGAGAGGCTTCACAAACTACCAATGAAAACGGACTTTAATACCTACTTCGTATGCCATCGTCCGCCAAATCCGCTCCTCTATTATCATAAACACTCGCTAGCATTTACATTTGCTAGATTGATATTTACCAAAGAAAATAAACCCTTGTAGAGTGTGATCGTTTATATAACCAAAAACCGTTTTCAATATTGTGAGACAAAACCCTATAGTTAGCGCGAACCACCTGTTGCCACAGGCATAGTAGTAGTAGTAGTAGTAGGTAGTAGCGGCTAGATTGTCACTAGTCACGGAATCGTCATTATACTTCTAATTTGTATGTACCTCGCGGGAAATCAAGGCAAAAGATATGTATATTACAATTGTGTGTCAAGGTTACGACACACAGCAGAGACCGGCCTCGACAAATTATTAGTCACCTTCACCTTTCTCGTCACAATTGAAACATTGGAAAATTATATCAAGCAACCAGTCACCTCACACATCACCTTCAATCCAATATTTGAACAGTACCTAATATGCGTCAAATTGTCAATGCCTTACAACGTTCTTTCTTTAATCTGTCGATTTCAGCTGCTGTCAGTGTGCGATGAGCGTTTTCATCTCGCTGCTGTTCGTAGGGATCCTACTGGCGGCGGCCGTCGCTGCCGGCATCTACTTTGGGCTGCTCAACGTGGACGATAGGGCACCGGAACTGTCCGAGTACATCCACAAAACCGGTGACTCGATAAAGGACGCCGTCAAGGATAAGATCAACTAGAGTGGCGGGCAGGCGGAGCAGCTAAGCGTATGTGGGAGCACTAATTCGCTAAAGTGCCAGCGGGAGTTGCCGAATCTCGTGAACTGATCTGCATATACTTTTAATTTAAGCCATCGTCTCGCATTTGCTTTAAAGGCGCATAGATGGAATGTGCAAAAATAATTGATCAATTTATAAATGATGGTCTGAACTATAAAACACTAACTATACAACGCTTAATGTGATTGGCCTTACAGCATTTTTAAAGTACAAGCACCGAGAATCGATACATCACAATTTGACCAACAAACAATAGAAGTTACAACAATATACAATGTTTTACCTATTTTTGCACGCATTCGCGCAATAGCATCCTCCAGATACGGTGGGTAAGTTTTATAACATAGATTGCAACCATTTTCCAATGCCATGTAAATACAAGTATTTATTTCTAAACCTTAACTATTTTGTTTTAATCAACATCACAAGCCTAATTTTATTATTTTCATTTAAGAGAAAAATTGGTATCCTGCATCAGATGTTTTGACGACCGCAGTGCCAATTTTACTCCGAGGCCGTGTCCTAATTTCCGGGTTAATTAGTAGTTTAAAGTGATAGATTGAACGATAACGAATAGCCCTGCTATAAGGATGCGCATTTCGCGGAATGCCGCGTATAAGGATGACATCGGAATCCAAGTGACGTTCCTTTCACGTTGGATTAGTTTTAATTCGCCCAGAATAAAAAAAAGTTACGGATATTTTTAGAATTTCGTTTAACCGTTATGTGCTCGACGGGGTATCTGGGTTCCCTGCTTCCATTAGAATAACACGGTGTAGAAAAAGCAAACAAAAATGTCGAGCACATAAGGGTTAACTCCGTGCATTCGTTTACATTTATTCGTCTCTAACTTTTTTCATCAACAGAATTCCGTAAAATGATGTATGTATGAAGCTTTTGTGAATAACTCGAATCTGTTTCTCCGATGCATGACGAACTAAAGCGTGCAGAACTTGTTATTGTTTTTCAGAGAACGTAATTAACATTCACTGAAAGACAATAGTGGGCTCTGTTCGCTATGGTTCATCATGTATAAGAGATACAAATTTAAGTTATTCACAAAAGTTATTTACCAACATAATACCAAAATCTACAAAAGCTTCACTTGAATACTTTACTATTTGGAGGCGAACCAGCCCAAGGCTGAAAGCCTCCCTAATAAAGATAAATAATAATAATACTTTACTATTCATTCTGTTGATGAAAAAAGTTAGAGGTTGCTTGAGCGTGTTTAATTTTAACACACAATAAGTTAGATTTTAGCAGATGGTTACCATGACATCGAGCATGTTGTTTGATCTTGAACCGCATACCATGTTGCCAGATTTGAATTGTGTGAATCCTATAGGTCTCGAGGAAAAAAATCTGTTAAACCCGTTAGAGGCGACTCAGGCTTGCTTCCACTCACTTGCTATAAAAAATCGGAATTTAGGGATTTAGGAATCATTAGATGTTATAGTGATATTTTATACTTGTTAGACACAATAAGAGGTTGAAAGGCAGTGTTTAAAACATAAAACCAGTCAAATCCGCTTTTAGACGAATACCTTTCAAACATGTACTAGCAAAAACTTTTCTAATGTATGAATTGAATTTTTCAATTGCCTGTTTGGTTTATATTTTAGAACAAGAATTATATAGATAAAAAATGCAAATTTTAATGCCGGAGTGCAGCTGATCATGCAGTTTTTTATGCAATGCAATATTTAGAAGTTTGCTCAAGAAGAATATGATGTTAAAATTACAATATAAGTCGTGGTTTACGAAAAAAAATACATATGTTGATGCAAAATAGTTTAAAATACGCCTAAATGTAGGCAATAAACATCAGTTTTTCATTTCATTTTCAAATCATTTTTATGATACAAACCGTTCATTTTACCGAATAGGCTAAATGTTTCGGTAAATATCAAGTACCAATACCAAAGAAAAAATCAGAAAAAGAAACAAAAGATTATAGGAGAATAACACTTTGTAATATAGGATACAAAATTTATACAAGATGTCTGGTAAACAGATTACGTAAGTACGCAGGAAATCCAGGCAGGGTTGCTTTCACTCACTTGCTATAAAACCATAGAGGTAACTCTAAGACCACTGGGTCCCGAAGAAAATCATTATTATTTTTGGCTCACTCAGTACCAGAACAACGGTCCCAAGCAGTCCCAAGCTATTTCACTCACCCCTGCATGTTCTGCATGAATCCACACACCCCTGATGTTATCTGTCAAACTTTCATAGTGAATCAAAACAAACATAGTGTAGTAATAGAATTTCAACTAGAATAGGGTACGTTAATCGTTTGCTTGGGACCAATAGGCTACTAAAGTGGTGAGCCAATTTAAAATCGTTAGTTTCGTATTTATTGTTGATAAAACATTGTTTTTCGGAATAATGAAATCAATAGACAACATAATGGTATGTTGAACTTGTGAGTAACAAGAAGAGGGTGTAAAGCATGGACCCAAAGGTCAGGACCAATAGCGTGGAAGGAATTTATCGAAAAATCATGGTTCTCGGTAATAGAATGGAAGTGCATGCAGTAGTAGGTTTTTTAGATTTGTGGGTACTTATATTTTTGAGTGCATGGGGGAATGCTGTCAACAATGCTGTCGGTTTGTTTACCAACAATAGTTGACGTTTTGTTTTAACCTAACTTTTTTCCTAACCTGAACTTCAGAGCTAGGATTAATGTCATTGTTGATGTTGATCAAAATGGAATCAGTTTTATCACTTAATTGTTGGGGGTCCAACTAGAAATCATGCAAGGCGGACCCAGGTACGATCCTTGTGTAGCGAGGACCGAATGGACCAGATCCCGCCAGTCAGATGATTGTCCGCGGGAAGATTGTTCAAAGGAGGATTGTCCGCATGAGGATTGTTTGAAGGAGAATTGTCTGCTACCGACGAGTCAAGGAGTACGTGGAGGAAGAAGATTATCCGGAACTCTGAAGCTCTTTATATGTTCCAGGGGGAACGATACATTCAGATGCATCCTGTATCCCCATCAAATTTATCCATAAAATTCTGCTTATATATCCAGAACATCAGTCAGAACTTTTTTTCTCCAGACATCCTTATTCGATTTTTTGTCTATTTTTCAATATATCCTGAATATCCCTGTTGATCCTTCTGTCTATTCCGAAAATTCTTTCAATTCCGCTCGCATGCCGTCACAGTGTTGCCATATCTTTTTTGAACCAACATGCATCAGGATGAGTGTCGTTCCCCAACGTTTTCCTTGAACGTCATTGATTGTCTCTGAAGATCTTTCCTGGAACTATCTTCCTGCGGATAATCGTCCAGTGGACAATCTTCCTCTAATCAATCTTCCTGCGGACCAGTGTTGGAAAAGTTCGCGATATTTCACGAAGTTCACCAAGGGAAAAGTTCGCGAGTCATAGGGAACTTTGATGAACTTTTCCATCACTGCTGCGGACAATTCTCTTCCTCCAAATAATCTTCGTGCGGACAATCCTCTTTCGAACAAACCTTCTGCGGACAACCCTCTTTCGAACAATCTTCCTGTGGACAATCCTCCTACGGACAATCCTCTTCCGAACTATCTTCCTGCGGACAACCGTCCTGTGGACAATCTTCTTCTGAACAATCTTCCTGCGGACAATCCTCCTTCGAACAATCCTCCTGCGGACAATCCTCCTCCAAACAATCTTCCTGTCGACAATCTTCCTGCGGACAATTCTCCTGCGGACAATCCTTCTTCGAACAATCCTCTTTTGAACAATCCTCCCGCGGACAATCCTCTTCCTCCGGATAATCTTTCTCCTCGACTCGTCGGTCTCCTTCGAACAATCCTCCTCCGAACAATCTTCCTGCGGACAATTCTCCTTCGTACAATCTTCTCCCGAACAATCTTCTTGCGGACAATCCTCCTCCGAACAATCCTTCGAACAACCTTCTCCCGAGCAAACTTCCTGTGGACAATCCTCCTTTGAACAATCTTCCTGCGGACAATCCTTATTCGAACAATCTTCCTGGGTACAATCGTTCTTCGAACAATCCTCCTGCGGACAATCCTCCTGGGGACAACCCAAATATATGATGTTCAAGGGCCCTGGAGCTAATGAACTATTAGATTTGATAATTAACTATATTAACTAGTTCCGCTTTTTTTTTGTTAGCATCCATGCCTCTCACGCCAAAGTCACGAGTTCAAATCTCAAAATGGCGAAACAAAAAGAAACGTGCTAAGGGATGTAACACACCTCAATCTGACTGCCACGGCAGCGGGTAACGCACTTTTTTTTGCTGGCGCTTTTGCTGGCAGTTGTGCTGTCTGTGTCACTTTTGACACCTGTTCTGGTACAAATTGATGTCTTTTGCTCTAGTACCGGGTGCACCAGGTACACTAAAAAAACAGCTAGGTGAACCAAAAAAAAATCGCGTGAAGGAGGTCCTTACCCTTTGGGTCCATGGTGTAAAGTATGTGTTTGACTCATGAAACCTGTCAACCTGGTTTCAGAGCATCACAATCAGCGATCTTATGATTCGTGAGCATTCACTCAGAGTGAGCGCTCACGAATCGTAAAATCGCTGATTGTGATGCACTGAAAGCAATATTGACAGATTGTATGTGTCAAGCACATACTTCACGACCTGTTCTTGTAACTTACAAGTAAGAATGATTTCATAATTCTGAAAAACAATTTTTTATAGCAATTGAGTGGAAGTAACCCTGAATCCAGGATACCACCAGGCAGCATTCACACAGAACAGATCAACAGATGACCAAATCTTTTTTGCGAGGAGATATTTGGAGGAAAATTGGAACTGCGGAAACACAATTATAGTAGCATCGGTAGATATTAAGAAAGCGTTCGATTTGGTTGAAATTGCTTCGGTGCAGCAAATTCTGAAAGAATTGAATGTACCTAGTCATTTAATCAACAGAGTGATACAGGCGCTGAATGCAGAACGTACTGGGAAGGAGTATACTCAGAGGAGAGGATTAAGGGAAAGGGCATTAAGCAAGGATACCCACTATTACCCTACATCTTCACATTAATTATCCAAAAAGTTTTGAAGGAAGTCAAAAAGAAATTTCCCAATTTAAACTTGTTAGAATTAAATAATGGTAAATTA